CAGGGTGCTGATCCATACTGGGGGAGCCTCCCCCTTGGGAGATGTTCCCCAGCCCCAGCAGCCCTGGAGAGCTGAGGAGAAACCCCCCTGCCCTTGCTTCCCAGCTGATGATTTGATTGCTTCAGCCACTGCCACAGGAGGGAGAAGTCTTCCCAGCCAGGTGCCTGCCCCTGCAGCCCAGCATGGGGGCACCAAGAAGTCCCTGTATTGGGGGGCTTCACCCCACCCCAGCTCAGGGTCCCCCAGCCTGGGGCAATTCTTCCCTTCCCCATACCCAACCCCTTGCCTTTGTTACTAGAGTCCCAGGGATAGCTCAGAGTGGAGAGAAGTTCTGCCCCCCTTTATTCATTCTGCCTCACTCACAGCAGCTGAGGCAAAATGGGCTGTGGAGGAGCAGAAGTATTTCCCTCCCCTCCTTAAAACTGTCTGAGACTGGCAGGGGCTGAGGGAAGCAGCTCTGCAGGTTTGGGAGGGGAAGAGTTCCCCTCAGCTTCCTGAGGCTGCCACAAGCTGGGGGACTCTGCTGGAGTGGGGGGGAAGCCCCCTAACAGGGGCTCCCTGGTGCCTCCATGCTGGGATGGAGTGGTAGGTATCTGGCCAGGAGGGCTACTTCTCCCCCTCTTCTGTGGCAGCTGCTGAAGCAATGGGCATGTGGGAATGGGGAGGGGGAGCCTCTTCCCCACCTACCCCTGTCCCTGGTCCCTATGGGCTGATGGACACAGGCAGGAAATAAGCCAAGGAGTCCCTCTTTCACAGGGTCAGGCAGCAATAGCCTTGGGCTGTAAAACATCCTGGGATGCTGGGGGACTCTGAATTAACTTGAACCAGGAAGGGATCTGGGACAGAAGTTCCACAAATCAGTTTGACCTAAATTGGTTAAATCTGATACTACATCCAACCAGGTTTATCTTAAATTGGTTTTGGTCATTTTGAAAGTGGTTTATGTGTACTGAACGTCTGTTCTGTTACAGGTTTGTAATGGTAAGAGCTTTGCTAATAGCAAGAGTTTTGCACGCTGATTCCATAGTAGGCTGGTGAAGTGGCACGTAGCCTCCTGCTCTGTGAGCGTGACCGAACCATGAACCTAGATAGTAGAATGTTGTAAGACAGTGGAATGTGGTAAACACCAGGTGCGTTGGATCACGACTCATCCCCAAATTCCTAGCTTGAGATAATGTTGTTTACTCCAGACTGTATAAGCTGTACATTCTTAAGTTACGATGGGTTCCTCAGCTCTGGCAAGAGTTCTGACTTGCACCGTGCCCCAGCACACACTATCACATCCCCGGGATCGGGACACTCCAAAACCAAAAAAGCCACGCAAAGTGGCAGCTGCCACCTAAAACCAATATAAAATAATCGTCCTCTGTACTCTATTCTATCACCTGCCTCTGCAAGTATCCTTAAATAAAGGTTTACAAAAATAAAAACAACCATAAATACATCCTTTATTCAAGCGCAGAAAATCTTCTAAACCCAATAATTCATTCTAAAACAAGGTTTTAACTAATTTCTGATCACTTAAATCCTTTATCTGACAAAGGCCTACCATGCTGTGGGGGGCAAGCTGAAGGAGACAGGGGTACAGATGGTCTTCTCTGTCCTTCCAGTGGGCAGATGTGGATGACACCACGAGACCTGCATCAGAGAGGTCAACTTGTGCCTTCAGGAATGGTGTCTCAAGGCAGGCTTCAGCTTCTTGGAGTATGACCTATACTTCAAGACAAGGGACATGCTCGGGTGGGATGGGCTTCACCTCTCCCCCAAAAGTAAGCATGTGTTCTCTTTCAGGTTGGCTGGTCTCCTCTGGTGGGCTTTAAACTAGGTTTGTTGGGGGAAAGGAAGGGGAGGATGAGGTCAGAGGGAGCTTCGGAACACCAAACCAAGTGTCACCCACAAGAACAGCCCAGCCAAGACTGATGACAAGCACAAGAAATACCTAGATAAGAGACCTGGGTAGTCCTGGGATTAGGGGGGGCGGTGCATACACCTTCAGGAGGCCTTAAATGGCTATACACTAATGCTCATAGTATGAGGAACAAGCAGGAGGAATTTGCCCTCCTGCTAGCTAACACAAAACCAGACATAGTGGGGCTCACCGAAACGTGGGATCCAATGCATGACTGGGTGGTGAACATCAAGAGTTATAGGCTATACAGGAGGGATAGGACAGGGAGGAAAGGTGGGGGCGTGGCGCTTCTTGTCAAAGAACAATTCACATTCTTAATGAGCAGCACTGGGTCAGAGGAGGGGCAGACTGACGTGCTCTGGGTGAGAATACAAGGGGCTCGAGGTGAAAGGGACTTAATGGTAGGGGTCTACTACAAACCACCCAACCAGGGAGAAGAGCTAGACTGGGAATTCTGAGGTCAGCTGGGAAGCAGTTAAGTCAAAGGATGTGGTCATCATGGGTGACCTAAACTATCCGGACATTTGGTGGGAAGAGCAGTCAGCCAGGTCTGATGCTCACGTAGGTTCCTAGCCATGTTACAGGACTTCCATGTGACCCAGGAGGTGCACAGTCCCACTAGGGGAAATACCTTGTTAGACCTGGTCCTGGCCACAAGCAATGACCTGGTGAGGGGACTGCGGGTGCTGTATC